TGCATAAAAATTTCGACAAAAATGGTTCACCGACCACAAGTTTTTGCTAAAATGCTACGAGGCTAAACAAACCAAAAAAAGAAGCATTCATAAGGAGAGCCATATATTCTCTTCCTTTTATCAACCGCAGTCATAACTACAACAATTACACACGATTCAGCTGAAAGTTGTCGGTTAACAGGGTCACTCGTTAAACCAAAGCGTCCATCTTTTTCCAGACTGCTGTCGATGCAAGAAGACATCTCCCAAGCTTTCTTTGTTCAATCCTTTTTTTTTTTCAGTTAACCAGCGATCAAAAATTGCACTCATTGAAAGTGCAGTTAACTATGAGTTTGACTAAGAAAATGAAAACAGTATTGGTCAAGACAACTAATTATGGACTGGACTTGAAATCACTGAGCAGCTGGTACTCTTTGGGCTAATATTCCAAGTGTATTATGTCTCCAAAGAGCAAATAATTTGGCTTCTAACTACATCATTTCCACCAGCAGCTTCATCATGACCGTCCCTGAGGAGAAAATCTCTCCCCTTCACAGGAAGCTGTTCCCATGTTTAAAAGATGAACTTAGAAAGAAAGCCTCAGTAGGCCTGGAACATATCAGATCATTTTAATGCAACTTAGATTGGTCAAAGTATTGCCATATTCTATTGGGGGGGGATACCATGTTCCAAAAATAAGAATCCTGGTTAATTAAATCTTTTCAAATATCTGAAACACATGAGCTACACATAGATATAGATCGAAATACATAAAATTAAAAGCATTTTGAAGTAGCATTGTCAGGATTACTGCACATACTCAGAACTTGTTTCCCAAGAAAGTGAATCTGCTTGACAGCAAGTCATAATCTGATTCCATCATTGCCAATCCGTCTTCATTTTCCATTGTATTTAGTTTATATTTTACTCTGGCATTGTGCTTTTTACCCAGCTCTTTTAAGAGGGCCTTTCACAAGTTAAAGCAAAAAAAATCATGTCAGTGGGCTAAAATGACTGTGTAAAGTTTGCTGACTTCTCATTTTTGTTATTTTCAGCAGCACCGATGAGTAAAATTGGACCATGCTGGGCAGAATTTGCCTGTAGAACGCGATGATTACATGTGATAGGTTCAATCTCAAAATGACTTTTCAGTGACAAATTGTGCTTGATGTCCAATGAGGCCACGCTCTAAAAATGAAATGGGCTGTCTCATGTGTAGTGCTTGATGTATCAACAGGAAAATTAAGAGCCCATATTAAGGAGAGCCCGAGATAATTTGAGCCACATGCGGTGGCGACTGGAAAAAAAAATTGTGGTAGGAGATGGAAAAGGAAAAATTTTTTTTTTTTTTTTGGTAAAAGTTTTGATAAAATTCAAAATGGTGTTAAATGTCATCAGGTGGAAATTTAATTGGATTTAAGCATTCTCGGAATATCGTTTTAAATTTTCGATGGACGAATGAGAAATTGTGACCGGAAACGAAAGTGCAACTTTGGCCTGATGGCGGTACTAGGGGAAATATTAAGGCTTAATCAAGCGTTTATGGATAGAGTGTATTGGGCACATCTCAACTCCCTTTAATTGTATCCATGCCTCCTTTACTAGCATCTTTTCCTTGCACCTCAGTCCCTCCCACCGCATCCATGGAGAAACGTAAGCAAACCATGTGAGGATAGATGTAACAAGAAAATATGTTTTCGGAGGAATGAGACGTCCTCTCCTCAGAAGCGTGTCATGAAATGAAATCTGTTTCTGATGATGGCACATAGTTGGATCTGCTGCTAGCATCTGTTGTTACCGACTGATGTCATGGCTTCCAGCTGTAAGTCTTCTGGGAAGGCTGCACTTGTGTATCATCGCTCATTGCTCCTCAGAGCTCCCTGCCGGCTCCTCACTCCTCGCAACAGAAATCAGAGCTTTGAGATGATCTACAAGCTGGCTGCTCCAGAAAAATTTCCCAGTTCAGGTGAGGAGCATGGGAATATCAAATAAGAGAATTGAGATGCAACACGAACCCTCCATCACTGTGCCAAATATAAAAAAAGTGACATTGGGGCTGTAGACTGCCAAAGGAGAATTGGATGTACTAATAGGGAACAATCTCAGTGACCTATACATGAATTTTAGGGGCTGTGGTTCAATTGCTCTGGCCGCCAGCTACGGTCAGGCCAAAATCACAGAGTTATGTTTGTTCTTTTTTTATCCGTGTGGATCTATTTCTTGCTCGCCATCAGTCAAGCAGAACAAAATTTCACTCCTGCAGGATATTATTCAGAGGATGAGGGAAGCATTATCAAAGCAACACTATTTTAGGGTTTTTTTTCCCTCCCGGGCGATTTTTTTTTCTCATTCATTTTAATTTCTCTCAGCTCTGCCCCGCCTGCACGGAATGATTTTTCACCCAGAATTGAAACTTTTTTTTCTTTTCGTTTTATATGCACACATTCAAATACAATCTCAGGGATTTACAGTGTATGAGGATTTTTCTGAATATAATTAAAACAATGTTATATAATTGAAAAACAATATTTAAAAAAATCTCTCTATGAGCATTTTGGAGATTACTGTGATCAGTTTTCCATACTTCCAGTAGTGGGTTTGCTTGGGGCTTTGACTTCACGCACGAGCAGAGCCGTTTCCCCTGCAGAGAGGCGTTTTTTTCCTGCTATTTGTAAATCTGCCATTATATACTGTAGCAATTTTCCACGGTTAAAACATTTTTTGCTTTTGAAGGGAATCGGGAATGACATTCTCGTTGATTTATTTTGTACTCCACCCAAACACACCAATGATCAGTTAACCACCACCGCTTTGAACTATTCGTTCTTACTTTATGCTCAGATAACCCGCCATTGAACTAGCAAAAATGGATTTGGATACGCCGTAAGTGCCCTTGTGTCATGCACTTAAGACTGCATATTCAGATAATTAAAATAGAGTGCAATAATTAAACCGAAAGAAAAGAGAAAAACTGAAAAAATAGAACCGTAAAAGTGCTGGGGACAGGGTATGTGACTAAATAAAGTTTATAAATGATGGCTTCATGTATTGAAGGAAAAAAGTCAAACAAAACCACCTGGCCCTGTGTGAAAATATAATAGTCCCTTTGATTATGCAGTCAGGTAATTCATGCAGTTTAACCCTTTTGCAGGCAAATTTTGGCCCAGATGCATACCCCCACGGACGGATTAATTTTGGGTTTTTACCAAAATATGATTGTTATTCAAAATAACAATAAAATAACACCAAATCTCATAATAAGTTTCCCATAACTGATGTTTTTATGTTTTAATCCTCTCCAGAATCGCTAAAATCGTTTGGATCCAAGTCACTCCCGCTCTCTGGATATTCAAACTCATCGTCAGAGTCATTCAATAAAGCAAAAACTTCATCCACGTTGTATTTACGTTTAGAAACACGGCTAGAATGTAGGCTATTTGTACTGTCGATGCCATGTTCACGTCCCACAATTTGACCGGGAAGTAGTCTCGTATTTAGCGTTTTTAGGAAATCCCATGCCTCGTTCACGGCTAAAAATACAGTGCTGGGTGACCTGAGAGACAGCCAATGGTAATGAGTGTAACTAACAAGGGAATTCCCGCAATCGGGGAATTTAAAGAAGACTTTATAAAACACATTGGTAAAAACGACAAAAATGTCGCTGTGCCTGCGAAAGGGTTAACCCCTTGAGCACTGAGTAAATTTTCAGGGAAATAAAAATGTAGTTATCCTGAGCTATCCCCTGCGGGAGTTCTTTTAAACAAGTTGCCACATGATAGGTTTTCAACAGCAGTTGATTTTGATATCTTACATCATTGGGCAACGATAGTTGCCCGTGGCGCTGAAAGGGTTAATTGACCACTGAGCAAAATTAGAAGAGATACAAATGGATTGATCACTTTGAACCAAGTTGAAGCTGAACATTCATTAATAAGAACCTTTCCAGTGTGAGGCAGGCAGAAAGATCTGACATTGTGCTGTGATCTGAAGTAATTTTGGAGGAGGTGATATTTCAACTTATTGAAATATATCAGTCTCGAAAAGGTTCCAAAGTCATTCATTTCTAAGGCACTGGGACTCTCACAAACCACAATGAGAGCCATTTTCTCCAAAAGGAGGAAAAAAAAATTTGGATGAGTGGTAAATCTTCCCAGGAGTGGGTTGGCCTGCCAAAACTCCATCAAATTTCCTGTCAATCAAGAATAAATGGACAACAGAGAATGCTGTACACTCAAATGGAGTGAAATCACAGCCGGGTTTTCTGATTCTCATGGATGGCGGTTGGGTTTGACTTTGTTCTCGAATTTAACTGATGGGGTCTAATTTAATTATATGAGTTCATGGTATAAAAGGTGAGTGCATTTAAGGCATTACCTGTTCATTTAAGGGCTGCATGTAAAAGTGTAAAATAATGTGAATGAAATTTATCAAAAATGAAAGGCCAGCATTAATTTTAGTAAAAGTAGAGAATCAGCACTTTAACCTCCTCCACCCTGGACTTGCCATTGGATGAATTATAGCCCTGCTCTCACGTCGCCTCAAAGTGCATTACTTCTTCAAACCCGTTTTCATTTACGTGTCCTTATTAGCAACTTACTGTTAATTCATTCAGTTGTGAGGATCAATCAGTAGAAATACTGTCCATTTCCCCTTTGCTTGCATTGTTTTCATTACAATAGTTATCAAGCATTTGCCTATTACTGTGGTAATGGTGACTCAAAGCATCAATATCTTTAAAAGCCTTTGTACTCCCTTTTTCTCAGAGATTTTTTTTTTTTTTGCGTATGTAAAAAAAACTCAGTATATAACCATTGACGTTACCTTAATGCAGGTTAACTCTCAACCTCTTTCCGATTAAGAATCGGACAGTTACTTGAATTAATATTCCAAGCAGATAGGCTGGCAATAAGATGCATTGCCATTAAAGATTAAAACAAATGTCTTTGCGTAAAAGAGGAGGGCTTCAATATGAGATCGCATGGATGGCAATTAACTCACATTTCTCAAGGTTCCATGTTTGGGGTGGTATGGATCAGGAGGTAGGGCAGGCGGGCTAAGAATCAGAAGGTTCCTGGTTCAATCCCTGGCTCCTCCAGAGAATATGTTGAAGTGTCCTTGAGCAAGACACTTTTCATCAGGGTGAATGTGCGGCATAAATGTAAAGTGCTTTGGGGTCATGTCATGTGACTATAAAGCGCTATATAAATGCAGTCCATTTACCATTTACCATCTTGAAGTAGAATGTTATGTATTAAATACTACTGAGGATGGTATTAAGATTAGGTTTAGATTTCATTTTTGATTAATTAATTAGATAATTGCAGTTCATATAATCTGATATTGTAGCCTTGCTACAACTTTACCAGAAGCTGGACTATAAAACCTCATCAATGATTTCGCTACCATGATGAAAGTTCGCTGCATGGCATGCATTTTAAATTATTTTAAATGCATGCCATGTGTCAAAATTTCACAATGCGATAATAAATAATTTACTAAACTATTCAATTACCAGCATAAGTGTTGGTAATTTAATAAATTAATTATTGCATTGCAGCAACCAGTGGTGCAACTACGCTTCCCCACAAATGTAGCCTATTCTTTTGAACGCCAAAAACATTTTGATTAAGTGCAATCGTAAAATAAATTAAGTTGCACTGCTGAAGAAAATAGCTGAAACAAGAGGTGTAATTCAGAAAATATATTGGATACATGATACATATTTTTTTTTCCATCCCTACAATGTCACTATGAAGTATGATGTCAATGTAGCCTATTTGTGATGGCTGTCATTCCTTAATGATTACAGGCTTACAGTATATATTGGTCTTGATTATTCAGTTAATAAATTGTTTGATTTTTGATTAAGCAATCTTAAACAGGAACAGCTTGAAAGCAATTCTGCAATTAAGGGTCAGAGGTCCAGGGCACGCCATTGAAAATCCTGTAACGCTGACATTACCTCCAGGGGGATGTTGAGCTTTAGGATGTCAAGCTTGTGCGCATTGCATAATTACAAATATGAAATGTGTAGTACAGAGCTAAGTTAAGAAAAAAAAAAAAACCATGTGATTGCCCTAAAATAATGATAATAGTTTTATTCAGGAGTATACTCTGGAAATTTGGTCGAAGCTGTGCAGATCACAGCTGCCCCAACAGCAGCGGCAAACTTCAAATTGGGGGAGAAAAAAAAAAAACAGAATGTAAAATAAACAAACCTTAACTTTTAAAGAGTGCTCCTGTCTGATTCCTAGGTCATACAAAGAACAATAACAACAGCATTGTAAATTTGGTTAACTGCCAATTGTCTATTTAATCTCATGAAAAGCATGCAGGTGCTTAGCCTTACACAGTGAAACAAGTAGCGCGGGCTATGTTGATCCACTAGCTTCATACTATTTGAATGGGGACCTCACAATCATGGCAAGCCTGGATGAAGCTGCAGGCTGTCACGCCAAAACAGGTTACATGGTAATAATAATAATTATGATAAGAAAAATAGCAATAATGTCAACATTGGCAGTTCTAACCTGTTACTCTTACGTGTGTTTTAGACATGATTGCCTGAGCCCATGTCGGAGAATGACAGCTTCAGCAAGGACCGAACGCTCACCTGATATGGCAGCACTTTGAGGCTGAAGAGAAAGGTCTCTTAAAAACTGTGAAAGACCTGAGTGCATGACATAAATCAGTCAAGGCCCGTCATAAAAACAGCTATAAAAAAGTATCAGAAAATTTGAGCCACCATTTTTGCGTGTAAAATGGTGGCCCAACTTTTCTGATACTTCTTTTCTTTCTGCTCAGATGGGGTGTACAGGAAATTAAACATTATTTTTGATGCTTCAAAGACAGTGAAAGATGACAACAAAACGACAGACAAGGGAGCCATATGCTTCCAGTTTAATTCAGAGATATTTTGAGAGGGCAACATGAGGTGGTCTTCCCTGTTGTTGGGATATCAGAGGGTCTTGAGCTGTGAAAACCTACGGCATGAGGACATTTTAGCATTGCCACAGTATTCACTGAATCTGCATTCAACTCAGTATCAACACTAACTGCCACACCAAAGCCTCCTCGCAAAGGTAGAAGAGTGCTTGGTGAGCTGATGCAATTCCTGCAAGAGCCACAAGAAGCCAGTCGGCAGCGCCAAGAGGGGACTCTAGTGCAAATGAGGTCTGCTCCGCAGGGTTTTGTGGCTCAGATAACTACATCTTTGGAGAAGCTGAAATCTGTTGCAGTTTGAAGAAGTTTGGAATGTTCAATGGGAACAGTTAAATTTTTCTGCATAATTCATTTGAAGCTCTCAGGACAAGCTTTAATGTGTGTTTCTTCCAACTGTTATCGTAAGTAGGCCACCAGAAAGGCATACCTATTTGGTTTACCCTGGTTTCCTGTCTTTGTCAGCCTTAGTGTCAGCATTGGCATCACATTTTTTTGCGTGGATGAGATCTTAGCCACCACTTTGCACAATGACTTCATACTTTAAGCATGTGTTTACGCTAACGTCTACTAGTGCATCTGCCATGTTAGGTTCACCTGGGTCAAAGGTCAAGGTCACTGGACATGAACATTTTTTTTATTTTGTGCGGACGAGATCTCAGCAACTGCTTGGTACAAGGGCTGCATACTTTAGGGATGTGTCTATACCAATGCCTTGTGGTGCATGCACCATGTTGGGTTTACTTGGGTCAAAGGTCACAGGATAAAGGTCACTTTGGGTGACTGCTTTTTTTTTAGCTCAGCAAAAAAAAAAAAAAAATACTGTCTCTAATTTGAAGTTGTTGCACAATGTTTACTGTGCCATTTGAAGACTGTTTTGTTAATGTGTCTTAATAGTACTCAAAATTTTGAGAAATTATGCAGAAGTGTCACACTTTTTTTGGACATTGGGTCGAATACCTTGCCTTGTGATTATAAATTATTGTTTGGATATTCAATGAAACTCCCCCGCCCCCCAACACTTTACTGTGGAGAGTGAATAAAAGGTGATACAGTTAATAGAGGAAAATATTACTCTACTAATAAACACAGAATGTACAAACAGTCATAACAGCAGTAGTCAAGGGTGTTGCTGACGTACCTCTGAAACACGGATGCACATATTGTGAAGAAAACAGGCTGCCAATGTATTCATCACCATAACATCAGTCCAGGTTTTCTGCAGATCTGGAAGGTTTCTCCACTTACAGTTCATCTTTTCGAGGATTAGCCTAACAGCCATCTCATGGCCGATCTGTAAGTTCTCTGGCTGGTCTTTAATAACAGCCCCATGGTCACGCTTAGAGGTGATTACAGTTGGGACGGCCTGTCTTCTCCTGCCATGCTTTGTAGAAGTTGGTAGCCCTCAACATCCTGGCATCATGATCCCTGCCTGGTGTCCAGTAAAATGGCAATTATTGGTCTTCCTCTTTACTATCCCCTGAAGGATGGTCATAAATGGTTCATATCATCTCCTCATCTTATTTGTGGCCTCAGCACCCTGATGTGGCCCCAATTGCATGGATGACACCACTGAGGCCATTGCAGTAGTGGAGAGCAGCAGATGCTATGTTCCTACAAGTACTTGGCCGGGAGATGGTTGGTCCTCTCGTTTGAGAGATGTTGAGCACTTCAAGGATGACCTTGTGTACTGATGTCTGTGACAGATCAAACTATCTCCGTATAGTTGCTTTGGTTGACCATGTACTATCGGAATATAAGGCAGAAACATGAGGCAGAAATGGTGTGTAAAAGAGTAGTCATCCATGTTCAGCGTGACCTCCGACTCTGTTCTCGTCTTCAGTATGATTGGCTGTGTTGACCAAAGAATAAGTATCCCAAGTCAATCTTTAATACAGGTTTCCTCTATCTGTCATTTAAATATTAAAACCCCATCTATTATCACTGTATTATTTATATTTGTAATGAATTTGAGTAGCTGTGGCTGGACAAAGTTTGGGATGAGTAAAGTTTTCTAATTTCAAATCTTATGCACATTTACTGCAACATACCTTATACTTTTCCCATTCATCAGGTTAAAATTGTTCATGATACTGAGGAAAAAAAGATGATTAGTTAAATATCTTACAGATCCCTTGTCCTCAGTGTGTTGGTTACGAAATGAGCAATTGCGATGCAGTCAGAATATTTTTTTTATGCAGTGAAATTTTCGGGGGGGGGTACACCTTCTGAACCTTCTTTCTTTCCCCTCAATGTTATAAAGTTGCGAGCCTCATATTTTTTCTGAAGTCATTTTGAAACAGTAAGCACAACAAAGGTTTTCCTGGAAGCGTCCATCTTGGTTTTCCAACTTGCTGTACAGGAAAACGGTCAACTCCAGCGTGATGTCATTCCCAGCTCCCACTTCTGAGATAAAAAGAACGCAGCATAAGCAACTTTGACTATGGTCTGGTTGTTGATGTCTGAGAGGATGTGTCCTGCATGAAAGAATCGATTGCCCTGCTGCGATTTTCTGACACTACAGTATGTTGAGTTTACTGCGAATTGCAAAATTGAGGGAGGAAAAAAAAACAAACATTCATTCATTGAGTGGCAGTTTTGTGGCTGAGAACACCTTGTTAGCGGTGTGGTCGGAGAAAATAAATACACACTTGTTCAAGTTACCGCAAAGGTCACGAATGCTAAAATAGCAGTTGTTTACAACCGTGGTTTTCAGTACAGCATCTCTTGCACAAAGCTATTGAATAAGCAAGGACCAAAATCCCTGAGACCTGTCTCCAGCGTATTTTTTGAATTCATGCTGTGCAGAGGTCAAGATCTTCTGGAGGCAAAAAGATGTCCTACCTGGTGCATCTAATAAAGTGGTCAGTGAATGTGTGTCCACCACATACATACGTATTTGACTTGATGTATTAAATTTCCCTGCACATTGGCTTGCCTCTACTAATAACATACCCAAACTAACAGGAAATGCTGTGGTATATTAGAACCTTAGGGTTTTATGCTGGATAACGGGCTGTCACCAGTTGGGCACTGCCATTGGGTGACAAAAGTGTTTGGGTAATTTCATTTGCTGTTTAGTCTAACAGTCTGTTCCAGGCTTGCTGATAAATTCAAATGGGAAAATGATTCTGACTGTAAATGAGGTTATTGACC